TGTAGCCTGAATGCGGGCCGTGTAAACGTTTCATTTTCTTACCAATTGCCAAATGGTCAAAACACGATAGAATTCACAGCAGCAGCAGCAGCAGCAGCTTCTTCTTGTTCGCTGCGTTTCGTTTTGGTCTCTGTGGCAAAAAGTCGTTGACACTAATTAGCATTTAGTTGGCGCTGCAACTGCAACTCGCAGCGCGCTCGCCACATGCAACTGCAACAGCACAAACATGCTGTCAAGTGCAATAAATAACGAGTCTATGAATGGAGCGTGTCGGCCTGTCGGCCTGTCGAGCTGTCGGGCTGTCGGCGCGCATCGCCAATGGATGGCTACAAAAATGTCAAATGTAAAAGCGAAACAGACGAGCAGAGCTCAAGCTTAAAGCTCTTAAGGCACAGCAAAAATCGACAGCAGCAAACAGAAATATTGTATAAATGAAAGAGAAAAAGAAATCAAAGAAAAATGTTAAAAAAAAAGGAAAATAAAAATTTGTTGTCTTCAACAATTCAAAAATTTGCACGCTGTGCTGTCGCTGTGTTTGCCTAACAAGCAGGAAGTGGCGCCGCGGCTGCTGGAGATGCGACTGTCTCATCACACACACACATACAGAGACTCACACTCACACATGCACGCACACAGCAGCAACAATGAGCAGCGACAAAAAAGATGCAGGAAGCAACAAACGCTGTCGTCGTCGTCGTCGTCGTCGTCTTCATTGCTCCAGCAACTTCCTACTGCCAACGAGCACCCACTCCACCACAGCTGGGGCTGTGCCATCCGCAGCCACCCGCTGATTGCGTGAGCCGCTGCAATCTTCATCTTTCAGTGTCAAAGGATGCCGCATTCAGGCGCCTTCCTCTTATTGCTTATGCAATTTGCGAGCTGTGCGCGCCCCGCCAAAGGATTAACAACTAATTGACTAGCTATAGAGCGGGAGAGAAAGAGAGAGAGAGAGCGAGAGAGAGGGAGCGATGTTAAGTTAAGCGGCTTGGGCGTAAACTAAATGTCATGCTATGCATTAAATATAAGAGATTAGCCAAGTGATTTGCATATTATACCCAGTGAGGAGTGGCAACTGGATGCTCTTGCAGAACATTTTTGGCATTAGACAAGATATAAGATACGAAATTAGTATAAACATTAAGTCTAAATGCTTTTGGCAGATTCAGAATTGCTAGTAAAACGTGTGTGGGATTCCAGCTTAAGTCTTACAACGAAGAGTCAAGGCACAAAGCAGTAAGAGAGCTCTAGTGGGAAGAGTTCCCTTGGGATATACCCCTTTGAGACCTGCTCTTAGCTACTGTTGCAATCATTGTTGGATTGGTGTAGCATGTGTGCCTTTACTATATTACTATTGAATAAACTCAATAAACTCTGGGCATGTCTTTATATTTTAAATTTTATCTAGGCTAAGGATAAATGAAAAACAACAAAAATGGATTTACTTGATAAACAAAAACCTTGCATGCATGATGGCAGTATCTCGAGAACATAAGAGTTAGGATTCCTCTTCCGAAACTCTCTCAATCAAGCATTAGATTATACATATATAGAAAATTCAAACTTAAGCAATGATTAAATAAGTCTACTAAACAACTTTGCTCAAACTCAAGCAGTTCAACTGCCCTCGACATTTACATGTTTAGAGTTTCATACACTCTCTTGTAGAGAAATGCACAAGCAAGTATCAGCTCTATCTATCTCCCGGCTCTTGTCTAGTCGGAAGTTGAATGTGAAACGTTTAGGCTCATGAAAAATGCAAGCAATTTTCGGTCGTTGTCTGTGAACTTGAATGCAAATTGCAAATGTAAATTCGATGGCCCCACAAACAGCAATCGCAAGAGCAAGAGCAATCGCCATCGCCATCGCAATCGCAATCTGAATCGGAATCGGAATGCTACTGCGGCTCATTTGGAGGTGTTGCTGGTTGCCCCAGCGATCGCATCTGTATGCCTGTGGCCTGCACTGCGGCAGTCGGTGTGCTCTAGGCTCCCATGGATGCAATTGCAATTGAATTCAGCATTTCCCACATGCGGGCACAATTTATTGTTGTACAACAAAAGCACTTAGAGACAACAACAAGAAGCGACCGAAAAGTCGATAACTCGCTCAATGTTCGCTGTTCGTTAGCAAATGTTTGTTTGTATTTATTTCTCTTTTCCTTTTTCATTTTGCATACGTTTTGGCCAAAAGGAGCTGCTCGGTATTGACTGGATACAGAGTCTGGTTATGCAAGCGCATTTCAAGGTGAAATCGCCGGGAGTCTTGCTAAGAGGCAGGAAATGCAGCTGACGCGTTAACAACCATTGAAATTATATTGACAGTTTATAGCAGACGCATTTAGTTTGGATCATTACAGCGCACATAACTCAAACTGCCTCAATCGCACACTAAACACTTGCTGTTAACCCATTAATTAAAAAATCGAACGCCCAGAGCGAATTGTGTAGTCACGACTCGGCTTTAAGTATATTAAAATCGCTTGAAAACTGAAAATAGACTTGACTGCATACGGGAAAAATTGTGTTTTCCAATCAAGTTGTACTTGTCGAATAGAATTTACGTAGAAAACAACTTTGTACGCAATTATTTATACATTTTGTAATGGCTATTCAATATATAAATAGCTGCTTACATAAGATTTTTTTAGTAGTTGTTGAAGGTAGGGGAAAACACATTACATTGTTGGCTTAGGCAGATCTCTTTTGTTTTTGTTTTTTTTTCTCAAATACTCAGCCCTTGGTATTTGGGAAAAGTTAATAGATATTATAAACAATTTACTAGTTATACCTATTCTAAGTAACCATATACTAGTTTAACCTTTAAATCCTCCTGAAAAAAAAAAATATTTTTTTTTATATTTTTCTGTATAACTTAAAAATTGAAATCAAACCCAAACTGAAACTGAAACATCTCTCTGACTTGTGCAGAACTGCACATGGATTTATGAATGGCGATTGAGTAAATTTATTTATAGATATATTCCATTTATATGTTTATCGAGAATTCTTTCAGCTGAACTCTCATGCGAAATATTCGACTGAAAATCATATTCAACGAGCTGTTAACCTTTTGCTCAAAGCCAAAGGCAGCAAACAAATCGAGTTGCATTGGGCAACATTTAATAAAATTAAAAATCGCAACGAATCGCTTTGATAAAAAGTAACAATTGAATTTGTTGAGCAGTAAAATTGTCGATAAATTGAAAAAAAAAAGAAAAAGAAATCACAAAGCCCGTTGGCCACTTTACACGATTCGCGGCAATTTCTAGCACAGTTCGATGAACGAAGCATCGATTGAACCATTTCATTATGCGGCTAAGTGCCCAGCGCAATTATCAAAGCGAAATGTAAATAAAAACAACAAACAGAAAATCAAGAAAAAACACAGATTTAATATCATTAACAACGGCAGATGGAGAAGGGGAATGAGGAAGTGGTAGGTAGAGGTAGGTTGAGGTGCTGGTAAAAGTGGAGGGGCAGATGGAGTTGGGGGAAAGCAATCAACAATCACAATAAAAATGCATTTTACGTGAACTCGCGCGAGGAGGCGACAATTTGCGAAATGTTTTGTTGCTTTCGTTAAGTTTTTTCTGTTTCTGTTTTTGTTTTGTTTTTTTATTTTTATGACTAAATTACGCAATGCGCTAATTTGCGATGCGTAAGCGTGCGGCTCGACAGATAATAAAAGCCATGCAAACGTAAATAAAAGCTGTAAAGCACATAAAACGATAAGAATTTTGAGGTTGTGTTTTGTGCATGTAGGGAATGCCCTTACTTAAACACTTATCGATTAATCTGCCGACAGTCCCTTGAGCTGCATTTCACAAGTGCCTCTCGACGAACCTGAGCTTGGGCTGTTTTATTTTGTTTATTTTATTTTTTTCTTATCTGAGCTGCAAAAACTGTA